ACCAAGAGTATATTATATACTCTTGATATACACATATGTGTACATGTACATACAGCATATGTACATGTACATTGCAGCAAAGTCATACGCTATTTCCTCATTACCTGTATATAGTTCTTCCCTTTTGGTTTCATACTGATGTATATATCCAAGGACTGCATTAATTCACCAAGATATCCTGAAATATACTAGAATATACAGGACCGCATGAAAGTCCATGCTATTACCTGAGGTCAACTGCTCTGATTCATCAATGACATCAAACAAAATAGCAACTGGCAAACAACCCTATAGAAACAAAAATAATATATTTATATACATGTACATGCATGCATGTACTTTCATGTAAGCATTATAGTGTATATAGTTATCTGTCCCACACTCCCCCTCTATCTACTTCTCCCTCTCTCTCTTCCTCTTCCTGAATACAAATTATACAATCACTGCATAAGTATGATCTAAATAAGGTGCTTTATGTTTTTTTCCCTCTCTCTGTCTGTTCCTCTCTCCCCCTTCCCTACCATTATTCTTTGTCTAGCATCAAACACGTTCTCTAATCCTCCAATGATACTGATCTGACTGCTACGATAGCGTGAATGAGGATCAGGAAAATGGATCCTAAAAATTAAACAACACCACATGACACATGAAACCTTAATTTTGATAATACTCATAATTAAACATGCATACATGTACATTGTACAACTATTAAATGATTCTCCATCCCATCCAACCGGGATGACATTATGCTCCGTTTGAAGCACTACTAAAGAATTACAAGTACATGTACATGTAGACAACATCACTATAGATAAAAAGAAATCGTTTTCCTGAGTAATAATAAAAATAATTACATGTACGTGCTTACGATGTGCAAGTCTCATGCATGATGTCCTGAAGGTTGCCTCCATCAATACCCATCACTGTACGCTGGTGCTGGACTGCAATATCAGCAAACAATGTCACCTCAGTAATAGGAGGATAGTCACCTACAGTACAATGAAATAATAATTAATAAATAAAATACTATACACACATTTATGCAGTACAATACATGTACATGTACATGAATGAAACTGTGAATACTGAATAATGTGGAAGGCTGACAGACAAAGCTACTGCATGTGCATATACATGTACATCTATAGTACATGTGTATGTACATGTACATGTACATGTAACATTAAAGTATGCATGTACATGTAAATGCACATAAAAGCTAGTCTATACTGTAGATTCATTTACCAGTGATGTATTCAATGACTTTAACCACTGCCAGTTTGAGTCCGTCAAGGAAACGCATTGAACTGCGAATGGAGACCATCATAGTGAGGGAGGGAGGGTGCTGAGAGAAGAACAATCATGGGGTAAGTAATACAGTAATACAATGTACATGTGTATGCACTACATGGGTATACTGTATACATGTACATGTACATGTGTAATAGCAATACATGTAGTGATGCTAGTAAATTATGTACATGTACTGTACATGAAGCAATAAAGTTTAAATATACATGTAATTTTAATTTATCATTATAATACTTACTCTGACACT